ACAAAGAATATAGAAATATATAAAGAATATAGAAAATTTCTGTCTTTTTAGAAAATATCATAATTCATTCTGTCAGAACTTTACTCTTAAGAAATGCATGATTTTTTTTTTTTGGTCTGGAAAGAGGCTGAGTGGTTAAGACCACCTGCTGCAGTTCCAGAGGACCTGAGTTTCTTCCTTAGCACTCAAATCTAGCAGTTAACAACCACCTGTAACACCAGCTCCAGGGGATCCGATGCACTCTTCTGGTCTCTATGGATATTCAAGCACATTGGCATACACATGCACACATAAAATGAAAATAATGAACAAATCTTAAAATAATAATATTTGGTTACATATATACACTATATACACAGGTATCGAGGCTGTATATGTAGATGCATACTTCTAAAAGGAGTCCTGAACAAAAGAGCACTTCAACAGTGCTATTGGATCTGTAGTAGAACAAGATTACTTTCCTCCTTAAAATAGTCTCTTCTTTGAATACATTTATGAACTTTAAATCATTGGGTCCAGAAAAAGAACATTTCTAATATTTCTTTGTTTGTATCATTCCTATGTTTCACTTGCTATCAAATATAACAGAAACTCTAGTAGTAGCTCTACTCTCTGTTGCTAATGAGAACAAAATTCTTAATATCTGTAGTTGTGAGATAAGATCAGTTTCTTCCCATTATTGGCTGAAAAGGAGCCAAACAGAGTGCCTTTTCTCCTCCCAGAGATTCACCAGCATGCAGACATCCATATTTCTGGTGCTGTCTTAGAGAGTCAGGGCTGTGTGCACCCTGTCTTCCCCACAGATCTCAGACATCACCATGGACTGCTGCAGACTGATATAGGCAACCTAAATTTTTATCTCTGTTTTCCTTCAAATATAACAGATATTTATATCACTTGGTTCACCCTAGGGGCTTCCTATACTTGTCCAGATCGTCTTTGACCTCACCCACCAGGAGATTTTCATATTGTTCCCTGGGGAGGCATCTCCCTTGAAAGTTCAGCTCCAACCTTTCATGGACATATCTGGAATCCTTAGTTTGTCTTCTCAAAAAGAGGATTTCTCTTCAGCTTCTGGTTGTGCTAATGTTCTGGACCCAGGTAAGGACAAGGGGAGAGAAGTACAACATATGGCATATGTGGGCGAGCTCTGGGGCCCTGATGTCCATGTGTGTTCTCTCTAGATGCTTCATGTACAGACCCTGTGATATTTGGAACTGTGAGTTTGAGAGAGACTCCACAAGAGCAGGGTCCTGTGATCTGATGAAGATTATCACAGAGAACAAGTCCAAGAATAGAAGAAAATTCTATGATATGACTTAGCATCTTGGATCCTTATTTAAAATGGAGTATTTTTGGTTTATAAAACAAAATCACAGTAATCATTTATTCTGAATTATAAAAATGTTAAATAATAAGGTGGATGATGATGTTTGCATATGACTTTAAGTTTCCTCCTCATTTATTTAGAATCCACTGCAGATAGTAAGAAATTTTATTGAGTCAAGAATTTCACAGAATGAATTTTGACTATATTCAGGCCTCTCCATCGCATTTCACCCTACTGTCCCCCCTCCATCCCTGACTTAGTGTCTTCTATTTGCAAATGAAAAACTCCATCCATTTCACATAACACATCTGAGCTGGGTGCCAGAGAAATCATGCCTTATTAGAGTGTCAGTCATCTATAATTCTTGCACTGAGGTGTACCAAAGTAAGGGTCCACTCCCTTTCCATTGTATGTGGTTTGGGGTCAGAACAAGCCCAGGTTTATTGGAATGGGATTTTCACTCTTAGTTTCTATTTGTCTTACATACTGCTTAGGAATGTCAAGTAGGAGATTTCATTTTTTTCTCAGCATTCAGAAACACTTGGTTTTCTTCATTGAAGTTAGTTGTTCACAGAACTTGTATGCTTGTTACACTTTGACTGTTTTCAGACTTCACTCAACGCAATGACCTCACTGTGTACCAAGGTGTTTTCCAACAGGTGATTTTTCTCAGGATTTTACTGTGGGTAAAAGAAGAATCTAGGCTCTCACAGCAGGCAGCAATTAGCCCATAGGCCACTTGTTCAAGATTCTCTGATTGACATTTGGGAGGTTTCACAGATTCACATAACAGCTTTACACCAGTGTCCTCTAGCGTATTTTCTGGAATCTGTGGAATTCTCAGATTCCTAATCTGAAGTAGTTGAGGACCGCAGCCAAGTCCTGAAAGTCGCTAGGTAGTATTTTTGGCCGACCATGGATGTCATCAGGGCATCCTGATAGGTGGGTAGTCTGACTAGGCTTTGCCCCACAAGTGTACTATGAGTGGCCAGACCAAGTCAATTCACCCCACCGGTGTGTGGGGGTAGATAAACTTGCTCTGCCTTACCAGAATGTGTGGCCTCACCTTCTTGGCTCCCCAGTTACTATTGCTCTTACAAGTTCTGAGTTCAGAATTTTGAGAAGGTTATGGAAACATCAAGATTCTTAGTAAAATGAAGAGGGCAGGAGTCAGAATCGCTGTCCCCACAGTTGCTCCGGCTGCACCACCAGTCTCACTTTCCAAATGATTTCTTT